ATATTTTTTTTTAAAAATTAATAATAATGATGATGATAATAATTAATATTAAGCCTATAGGCCATTGGCTAAAAGTAATAATGGCAATGACGATGATGATGACAATAATAATAATAATAATAATAATAATAATAATAATAATAATAATAATAATAATAATAATAATAATAATAAAAAAATAAAAATAATAATAATAATAATAATAATAATAATAATAATAATAGGCTAGCAATTATGATAATAATTATTATTAAGCCTATAGGCTAAAAGTAATAATGGCAAAGATGATGAGAATAATAATAATAATAATAATAATAATAATAATAATAATAATAATAATAATGGTAATAATAATAATAATAATAATAATAATAATAATAATGATAATAATAATATAATAATGATAATACTACTACTACTACTACTACTACTACTACTACTACTACTACTACTACTACTACTACTACTACTACTACTACTACTACTACTACTACTACTACTACTACTACTACTACTACTACTACTACTACTAATAATAATAATAATAATAATAATAATAATAATAACATATAGGCTAATAATAATCATTTTACTACTACTACTAAATATAATAATATACTAATATGATAATAATAATAATGGGAATTCATAAAAATATTACTACATTTTTAAAGACACATGGTTCCCTATTGGAAATCAGTTTTCCCCCTTCATAGCGTACTTTTTTATCTGCATTAAAAAAAAACGTTACGCCATCTTACACATGCAACAAACAAACAAACAAACAAACAAACAAACAAACAAAGAAACAAACAAAACCCCAACCAAACCGAAGAAAATAGACCTAAACTCGATTTTCACCAAACAAAACAATTTTTCGATAACTTAATTTTTTTCCTTCCAAAATCATTGCAATTTGCTGTCTAACAGTAACAGAGTCTTTTACGGTAAATGGAAAATAATAAAATTCAGCCCCCCCCCCCCCCCCCCCAACCTATATGCCTACGTGGTTCACACACAATGGCTACCACCTATCCCGTACCAACAAAAACTTATCATATGAACACTAAATAGAAAATCTCTCTTTTAAAGAAACATTTGTAATAGTTGGCCTTTGCCCAAAAACGTTCGAGGTAATTTAAATTGTGATATTGTAGAAAACCAAAGCCGCTGTTAATTGTTTTTTGGGGTTTTTGTGCCTTTTGTTTTTGTGGGTCTTTGGTGGGGGAGGGGGGGGCGGTGTTATTGCTGTTCGATTTTTTTGTCGTTTCTTATATTTTTTTAATATGTTTTTATTTATGAACGAAAAAAAAAGGCCTAGATCTATGGTTGATTCTCCAGGCCTAGGCCTTCACGACAGTAGGCATACTGTATACCCCCCCCCCCCCAACCAGGTCTCCCACAGACAGCCGCGACAAACAGTAGCTCCCCTTTCACCACCACCACTACCACCACCACAGCAGCAGCAGCAGCAGCAGCAGCAGCAACGACAACAACAACGTACAGCAGTAACAATTAAGATTACCGCCATGATATATGTAGGCCCTAATGTTTCAGGGAAAGAACTTTATTTTACAGGCTTCTGCAATCAAGTTACGAGTTTCTTTAGACATGGCTTAAAATTTTGTGTCAACAAGAACCGAAATTCATTTGGTTCCTGACATTTCGGTGCACTTCCATTCCTATACAATGTACTTATACAATATGCTCATGTTTTGGTTCGATTGAACGATGCAAAATGAGAAAGTGGAGGTAACCACATTTTTAGACTGCTATTCTAGCGATTACACTGCTCTCCCTTTGGCATCTAGCCTATTGGGCATTGGGTCTCTACTACCAACCAGAGACACTAAAATATAATTAAATACTCTCTGCTACTACTCTCTACAGCTAGGCTTTCTCAGTTCCTCCTTCCACTTCCAAGACTGGTAACAAGGATTATGACGTTATGACAGTGACAAAAGAGTAGATTTATAGCGATCAATCGATCCATCTACAGTAATTTCAGTAAATTATACTTTGACTGCTAGATCTATTTGCAAGACAAAATGGATGTAGCCACAGGAAAGGCAGGAGTCTTTTCTTTCAGTTTATACTCTTATTATTGGGGGGGGGGGGGGGCAAGTTACAAAAAAAAAAAGGAAGACTTTAATAAATGAAGTTTTCTACATAATGAAATAACAATATTTGCCTGAACATACTCAAACATAATTATTATGAAGCTTGTCCAAGTCTTCTAGATCTACCATTCTAATTTTATTATTTTGGTTTTGTCAGTTTCGTTTCAGTGGCTTTTGTCCCACTTTTATCTTTTCGGAAACGAAATCTATCTTTTACATATACCGACTACCCGTTGTTTACAGTATGGCGGCACATTCGACAAGCTCCTGCTTGTTTACGTTTTCAAGATGACCAGCAATTGATGCGATTTATTGTTCTGATTTAAGGGAGACTTTCTCAGTATGGCTGGAAATCTTAGGAGGGATGTGGATTTTAGTGGAATTTTCCGAAAACTTGGTAAGATCTAGATTCTATAACTTTTTTGTACAGCTTCAAATGACAGATCGGCGGCCGCAGACTGCCAGAGTCTACTGCTGCTAGATCTAGATCTAGACTAGATTCTAGAATTAGAGAATGGAAAGTAACAAAGACAATAGTGTGTCTAGAATTATATCTAGAACTAGAGCAAGCATTTTATTAACTTCTTTAGTCTAAGTAAAAGCTGGTGCATTATTACAAGCCAAGCTATTAGCCTAATATGAGGCTGCTAAGACAACAAAAAAGTAGCATCAATCTTCTGGATCTGCAAGTCTGGAAGTTTTTTTGGAAGGACTACCGTAACGAGCGACCACCCCATCAAACACAATAAAGAAGAGGCCTAACCCTAACCCTAACCCAAACCCTACCCCTACCCCTAGCCCTCAATTCTGCTCTGTTTCATAGTGGTCACTCGTTAGGGAAGTCCTCCCGTTTTTTTAATTCACTCATGATTGATTGATTTCGTTCAATCAAGTTCAAGTAGATTCTAGATCTATCAAGGCTTCAAGGTCAGGTAGATTCAAGAGTAGATCAAGATTTTCTAGACCTAGGCCTACCGTTTCAACTTACACACTGCGGCAACAGTTAGGGTAGACCTATAACCCAAACCCTTGGCCTTGGCCTTGCTGTGCCATAATATTATAATAAAAATCAGCAAAGGGAGATGTTTCATTTTCCTCTCGTCTTCTTTTACAAAAATAGCATTTCAAAGCTGTAGCACCAAGGGAAGTCTTCTAACTTAACCTCTAGACTTGACTCCTTCTATCCCTAAAAAGCTATTTTTATTAAAAATTGTAACTTAAAACGAAATCACAAATTTCCTTCACTTCCAGAAATGCTGTATTTTGTACTTAGTTTTTTTACATTTTTACCCCCAACATTTGCCTTTTTATTCAGATCAGTTCTCTTTGTTATTACCAAAATACTGAACATGTTTTTTTTTCTTTCAGGGCACTCCTTGGAAGAGATACGAGTTCGTGCCCTTGAGAACATCTTGTCCAAGCTTGAGCATCAACTCATCTGTGATGCAGACATAGTTCATGAGAAACATTTGTACATCCGCCTTTTAGAATGGTTTAATTTTACAGACTGCCCCAAGAAAGCTGATGTCTTCAGTCTGCTCAATCGACTGGCTCAGGTTTGAACAATTTTCTACAAGAAAGAATTAATGTTGCAATTTGTGTGGTCTTCAAAATCCCAGTCGACAATTTGAAAATGACATTCTCTATAAAATTACTGGTAATTTTTTTTGGTCAAGATGAAGCAGAATCTTTGTAAGTTTTACTTACATTTCTCTTAAAATAGAATCATATTTTGGTATTAGTAGTATAAGTTTGGTAAGTATTCAGCAACAAAAAAGTATTGAAGTATTTGATTAAGGCACAATGATTTAATTTTCCTTCTAACCTATAATTTATAGCAGTTCAGAACATGGGCTTGTCAGCAAGAAGGTGCATGTTAGGAAAATGTGCTGACCCCACTAATTTTGATATCAAGTGGAGGCTGCAAAGGATCTTTTTCTTGGGATTTTGAGATCTCTATTTATATGTTGAGCTTGATGTGTGTACGTGATATTCCCACTGTTATTTAGTCATCATTGATGTTTCTAGCACTCAGCAGGGGCTCAGCTCATACAAGACATAGGCGGTGTGGAGTTCTTGTCGCAGCTGAGGCAGGATATTGAGGCGTGCCATCGTCCTGTCATCGATCAGATCCTAGAGAGTGCGATGCGACTGCCAGACAGCAGGGAAGAAGGGCATGCTGCAGAGTGCATCTACCAAAAACCTTCCGAAAGTGGTATGTGTGTCTGTAACATTCTGTTTTTAACTTCATACTAAAGTTTGTATAGAAAGCAATATAATGTATGTGAGTGTGTGTAAGTTTGTGAATGAACATTTGATGCCTTCCATTTCTTTTTAATCACAAAAGATGGTACATGAAAATATGCTGACAACAGACCATTCTATTAATGAGTAAATTATTTTTTGCCACATTTTTGCTTTAAAATAAGGCAAAGAGAAATGGGGAATAGAAATAGTTTAAGAGTGATATGAATTTGAAGTGTAATGTACTTACATTTGTTGTTTTGGGGGGGGGGTTCATATTTTGTTTGAACAATTGCCCATGTAGAATTACTCCGTATTCTATCAATCTTTTCAAGAATTGTGCAGTCATTTTTCTTGTGAAATGTTGCTGTTTCTTCCAAATTAAAAAAATAATGTGCCTCTCTTTTGTTGATTTTATTCTTCTTTCCTGGGTCTTTTATTCTTCTCGTTCCCCTGGGGCGGTGCAACTGACTGAAGTGCCTTTAGGCCATTCCCAAAGGGGGGACATTAACATGTTCTTTTATGCACAGTAGAATTGTAAATGGGCTGATTTATCAATGTCATGCTCATAATTGTGCCTGAACTGCAACAGGGAACTGCTGCTTTTTCTTTCCTATTCCTTGCTATCGTCATTTTTCCTGTACTTCTCTTGAATGTTTGTCACACTCTTGTTAATCTCTATTTCTGGGGTGCTTTGATAGTTGAAGCAGACTCTGTGCTGTTGAAGCTAGAGAGGTGAGCAGAGTAAGTCTGATACCCTGTAAGGACTTTTCTGTTGATATCCACCCCTTGGCGCTCATATGATCATATGCGAGCGCCGTAAAACCTCTACTTAAACTGAGAACTAAGACTTTATTCTTCTCGTGCCTCTCAGCTGTGTGGGGAGCCAGTATGACGTCCACCAATGACGGGTCGCGGTCTCACCTGTCGCACCCCTCGGAGGCTCACTCGGCGCACCCCGCCCAGGCCAGCATCGAGAGACTCGGGAGACACAACCACGCCGGTCCTGGCTACTTCGCCTCCACCGTAACTGCTGCCCCCCTCCACACAAAGTTATCTGCTGGACCAGAAACGATGGCTCCGTCCCAAGATCTTTTTATGCCAAAGTTTGCCAATGGTATGTTGAATTCGATGAAGTTGTTGGGTTTTTAATTTTTTTTTTATGTGTTTTTTTTTGTACAGAGCTGGTCAGAACATTTTACTTTATAAACTTCAATGATTAAAAAGTTAATAAAGCATTTCCAGTGAAAATTGTTAGTTTTATGATTGTCAATACTGCAGAAGTCTCTGCCACATTTCAATAAGTTTCATCATGTGTTAATACGGTGAATGCAGTTTACATTTATGTGAAGGGTGGCTGTTTTAATTATAAAGTAATGTTATAGATGAGAGTTATTTCATATGATCAAATATTTGGACCAATATATGAATTGTTTACATGAAAAATTTACTAGTTTTATTTCATATGTTTGTCTGGGGGTTTTTTTTTTCCTTTTCTCAGAGGGAAACAACTGCAATTTATTCCGACTGTCGACCTTTCCATGGCTGCCCTTGACCCACACAGACCAGCAAGTCATTGCCTCCACCAACAGGTAGGTACTGAGTTCACACAGAATAGGGCACTGTAATAGTTGGGTTTTATTTCTGTCTTTTGGCCACTTTGATTAGCGCACTAAAAACACTTCTTTATATTCCTTTATCATTGACTTTTCTCTTTCAAAATAGATTTTAAAGTGTGAGCTTTCAGTCACTGTTATGTCATAAGATGACAGCACCAGAATAGAAGCACAGATTTTGTTTTAAGCTCCGAAAAATTAAAGGAGTTATCTACTTTTAAGTCATTTCAACTCCTTCTTTGCCTCATTTAAGTCTTGCTTGTTTTTTTGGACAGGAAAAGAAGATAGTGTCTAGGTTTCCAATACTCTTACTCAGTGAAAAACTTTGAAGAACTGATTTCCCATGTTCACAGATGGGATTTTATTGGTGATTATGATAAGAATATTTATTTTTGAAAGTGTTTACATTTTTTGTTTCAATAAAAATAGAGCACACAATTCATAAAAAATTTCGTAAGGCATTCTACTGAAATGACTAGGAACATACACTTTTGTTTATTCCACTGATAGGGGAGTGCTAAATGATTTATATATTTTCATATGACACTTGTTTTTCATATTGTTCTTTATGTTAAAACTTCTGCTTGATTGCAGCTCTCTCCAAACAAAAGATCCCAACATGTTGATCGGTGCGTGTGAGTTTCTCGCCGACGTTGTCTTCCAAGATTTCCCTGCCGAACTGTTTCTTCAGAGGCCAGAAATTTTGAAGGTGTGAATGCTTCTTTTCTATATGATAAGATAAGATAATACTTTATTGTCCCAGAGGGAAATTTTTCTTGGCCGTACAGGATTTCAAAAACACATGCAGGTATACTATTGTATACAGCTATATTATTGTAATTGTTGAATGCAGTCGGTTCCTAGGCTGGAAGAACACTTGTTTGCCAGCATGCACAAGAACAGAGCTTAACTGCTCCTTTTACAAGAATTCAATATATAGTCAAAATAGAAATTGCGTTCTCACTTTTATATTTCTTTGCCGTGTTGCATGTCAAATTACCTCCAGCAGAGCTTATCATATTTAAACTCATAACTTGTCTAATTTCTCTTGATAATGGTGCACTGATTTTTCTGTACATATTCCTAAACGTGAGTGCTTGCTATATTCATATGGTATTGTTGTACTCTCTCATTTTGTGTAGTTCATTTTTAGGGGCAAATGGTCAAAAAAAATGTATTTGCTTTACTGCGGCAAATTTTTCTCTATGGAGATCAGTAAAATCTTATCTTTTTGTCTCTTTTCTTCCTTTCTCTTCTCTCTTCTCCTCTCCTCTCCTGTCATCTCCTTTCCTTTCTCTCCTCTCCTCTCCTCTTATCCTATCTTATCTCATCTCATCTTATCTTATCTCTTCTTGTCTTCTCTCATCTTGTCTTCTCTCATCTGGTAATATTTTCTCTTCTCTCCCATTATCTATCTTAACCTATCTTCTCTCATCTTATCATTATCGTCTCTCACTGTGTGACCTGCGGTGCCCAGAACCTGCTGTCCCTGGTATCTCTGACGGCCCCCGCGGAGCACCCTGTGGTCATCCAGGCCTGCCACACTCTCTCGGCCTACGTCCACGGCCTGCAGGTCAGGATACGCTACTTCCAAGACCCAGTGCTCTACACCTCCAAGCAAGGTGGGTTGGGGATCACAGAACGACTGGCGCTTCTATGACCTTATGCAGTTGCGAGCGCCGTAAAACCCCTACTAAAACAAAACACAAAAAAAAAACTATCTGAGAATGATGGAAGGTGGGATTTTTTTTTTTCAATCCCCCTTCCCCCCCTTTTTTTTTCTGCGTTAACTAAGTCATTTTCACTGATATTTGGTTTTCAAAACAGGTGTTTTTCAGAATTGTTTCCTATGTATCCCCGTATTGGTTGCATCTATTTTAACTGTCTTTTTGTACGTAAATGCAACATGAATTTGAAAATTTTCACTTATTTTCACAAAATTCAGTAGCATTGCTTGACTGTGGTAAAGCTGTTTTGTTGGTCTGTGGTGCAAAGATCTGCCGCATTCACTCATGAAGCTGTGACAAATAGACTTTCTGTTTCTAAAGACATTCTGTTACATAATGTTTAACGGAAATGCTATATCTCTTGTGTCTCGTAGCCCAAGCCTTGTGTAGATATTGAAGGAGATGTGCGGGGGATTGGTGGTGCTCTGGTGTGGTTTGCTCCTTCTTTCCTATCAAACATCTATCGTCCTTATCTCTCCTCTTTCTTTTTTGTGTATGTTACTCTCTTTTAACACATCTGTTCTTCGGCACTTATATGACCTTATTGTGTTGCAAATGCCGTAAAAATCTCACTAAAACTAGAGGGAGATGTGGTTTGTCTACTCAGAACTGCCAGTGTTCAGTGTAGATAATGTGATCCTGGTAGTCTAAATCTAGTGCAGTTGTGGTGACTTGTTCTTGGTTTCTTGTTATATCCTGTGCATGTGTGAAAGAGGTACATTATTTTGTGTGTCCATCCAATGACTATTCGTGCATATGCATCATGTGTGTGTGTATGTGTGTGTATACGTGAGAGAGAGAAAGAGAGTGTGTGTGTGTGTGTGCTGGTGAGTACGTGTGCGTATTTACCATGCTCCAGAAAATTGCTCTTTGTGGAGATCAATAAATGTGAAACATGCTGATAAAATGAGTTACTTCTCAGATTCGAGCCGTATGGAAATACATAGGCTACATTGCGCTTATAGGTGAAGTCTTTACAATTTATATGAATGAAATGATAAAAGGCATGTTTATACTAAGAGAATATGGCATCCAAAGAAAATCTGCAAATTTTACCCTAGTGTCTATTTTGGGCCAATATCTCCATTTGCAGATTGCGAGAAGTAACTCATTTCGTCAGCATGCCTCACAAATTGTTATCTAATCTTACGTTGAAATTGGCAACATCCCTCGTCTCGTCAGAACTGAACTCTAGCAGCCCGAGCCTCGTGTCCTCGACCTCCAGCTCCACCAGCCATCTGGCCCCGCCCCCAGGTCAAGGACACGCGGGGGTCGGCCTGGGAGACCGGCGTCATCGCGGGGATGGGCAGGATGGGGACAGCTCTGTATCAGCCAGCAGGTGTGTCATGTTGTTATGTCATCGGCAGAATGCTGGAAGTGTTTTTTTATAGTTTTTTTGCTGTTTCGATCCGTGTAATGTTGCTAAAACTGTAGGGGTGGGAGGGATGTTGAGAGAGAGACAGAGAGAGAGAGAGAGACCGAGAGAGAGAGAGGGATGTTGAGAGTGAGAGAGAAAGAGAGAGGGATGTTGAGAGTGAGAGAGAGAGAGAGAGGGATGTTGAGAGTGAGAGAGAGAGGGATGTTGAGAGGGAGGGGGAGGGAAGGAGGAGAACGAAAGGATCACAATTGGAACTATGTTCTTTGTATTTATGTTTAGGGAATTGAGCACTTCCTGAGTGGAAATGTGCTAAATAGATGATATTTATTATTGTTTTTTGTCCATTTTATAATTCAAAGTGTCAAAATCAGTTAAAATTGGCCATTCAAATAACTTTCCATCTCATCTGTTGAAAGAAAAACAATACACCAAGTAGTTTTGCCGCATTCGCAGTTCCCGATGTGACACTCCCCCCCCCCCTCTTTTCCAGAGAGTCCAGTCTGGGTCTCGAGCCTTCAGACAGCAACGCAGACAACGACCTTGACCTAGACGATGGGCCCCGCCTCCAGTCTCAACAGCTGACCTTGCCCCAGTTCTGCGTGGCGGTCCTGCAGCGAGCCCTCCCGCGTCTGCGCACAGCCCACGAGAACCTGGGCGTGTCTGTCCTGGAGTTGTTACACGGCACCCTCACCATTCTCTCCTCTGTGCTGGACGCGGAGGTCTGGAGCGACCTGAGGGAACCGGCCCGAGAAGTTGTACGTGCTTTTATAAAATCATATACCTTACGCAGTTGAGAACGCCGTAAAAACCTTACTAAAACTAAAAACTAAAACTAAAACACTTTGTTAACCCTATCCGCACATCCTGGGGTCTTTTTGTACCCACGGGGTTGTATTCTTCACATTTTAGAATACTTCTAGTCTGAAGATCTCTTTTAAACTTTCACGTATTTCTCAAAAAATCATTTTGACAGACTGCTATGCAAAGCGTAGCGATTGACTCAAAGAGTAAATTTCCTCTTTGGAAAGTGGTGGCACAGAGTTCCCCACGTCGTATGGATACAGTAGTAAAACACGACGTACGGATATGGTTAAACCACGTAGGGAAATTGAGTTACAATGGCAAACCGACTTCCATACATCTATCAAAATGTATATAAACACAGATATACGTGCTAAGAATATCAAATACATTCTTTGTGTGTATTTATAGTTTCCAATTTTCATTTCACTCTTCCCGTGCCAGGGGGGTTTCCATGGTGATAGCAGTAAGCTTACACCCCCTTTCAGAACTTACACTGGGAAGAATATTAGATTTGGAGGTCCTGTCTATTATAGTTTTCTCACCCCTCTATTTCGTCTTTAGAAGGAAGAAGATTTCTTATCTATTGCTTCTGTAGAAAAGAGAAGATTTCTCGTTGCTATTGGGTCCTTAAAATGAGGCAGATTTCTAATTCCGATTCATTCTGAAGAATGAGGAAGATTTCTCATTTCCCATTAAAATTAATTTCCAGGTTGATCGACTGACCGACTGTCTGGACCAGATGTGTGAGCTTCTGGGCTTCCATCACCATAGCAACCATGCCGTGTCGCCCATCAACGCAGAGCTGGGTGACCTGTCCACTCACCGTGTCCTGTACACCGGCCTGGTCACCACGATGACCCGCTTCCTGCTCATGGTGCCCTTAGAAAAGGTGAGGGTGCCCCTTTAGCTCAGTCAGTGTCATGCTGGGCTGTGGTGAATGACCTAGATTTGATTCTCCCTCGGGGAGTTTTTTAACTGCAATTATGTTTACCATAATATGATCTTTAAAAATTTGATCTTTATTTACACGTTTTCTTTTGAATTATGTTCTCAATTGAATTTCATAAAATAATTATGTTTACCATAATATGATATTAAAATTTGATCTTTATTTACACTTGTTCTTATGAATTCTTTTCTCAGTTGAATTTCATAAAATAATTATGTTTACCATAATATAAAATTAAAATTTGATCTTTATTTACACTTTTTCTTACGAATTCTGTTCTCTATAGAATTTCGTGACATAACTGCTGAAGCTGCAAGAGGCTGGATTGTTTGAAAAAAAAAAACCCAACAAAATAGTTGCTTTTGGGAAATAATTGCCTTTGGAAATATTTAGATTCAAATTTTTTGTTGTTGTTGTTAAAAAGGGGTGCAAATTTTTGTGTCTCGACAGATGGGTTCAATTCTGCCAGAAAAGCTCAAATCGACGCTGCACACGGTTGTTTACGACGAGGCCCTGGCGATGTCTCAGCCTCGGTGCCGTGCGGTGTCTCTGGCCGTGGCCAACAGTCTGGGTCTGTCTGTGCCTGTGGACTATCAGAGAGTTCTTGATGTCTGCTCATCTCTTGCCAAGACTTGTGTCTTCTGCTTGCAGTGTGAAACGGAGGTAGGTAGTGGAGAATTGTCTGATAGCTCTACCCGTGAAAGCAACTCCATCTCAAGTGCCATAATTGCCTAAATTTAGATATAGAACAACAATGTTATTGACTGAATTACTTGCTGTAATGATTTATTGAATTGCTGTAATGATTTATTGAATTCACATGTCCTTGTCATCTAGTCAACGCCAGAGTAGAGCAGGCTTTGTAAATCTGTAGGTGTGTGTAGGAGCCTGCATCGAAGAACTGCCAGGCTTGGGCAGTGAAGGAGAAGATGTTCAACGGTCTCCTCGTGGAAGTCACAGTGTCTGCAATGGGGTTCCCACATGGGGTTAATTTTAGATGCGTTTATCGTAAAAGGAACAAGAAGAGTTGAAAAGAGTGATTATAAAACAAATTGCAAAAAGCCAAAATTTTGAGTAGTGATTTTCTTGAAACTATGGTAATGGTACTTAGACAATGCGATTTTCATGGGTCAAACTGGGGGTATACAGGTTATGATAGATGATCCTATAGCTTTCTTTTGTTCTAGAAATGTTGAAAGGAGTCTGCTTTGAAAGCTTGTACTCTTGGAGACAAAGGAGAAAATTATGTTTGGTTTGATGATTCATCCAGGCATATGCTGTTTACTAAATGTGAATGACATCAGTTTCTTTTCCTGTAACATTATTTCTTTTATAATTCTACGTGGGATTAATCTGGCTTAGAATTAAAACCACTCAGGCTGACAGAATGGTGACAGATAGAGTGTGTTATTGCAGAAAGATCCTAGAAGCAACGTCCTTCGACTGAAAAAGCTAAGAAGAGGAAGAATTTTGATTTAGAATGACCTTTTGTATTTAGCTACCACTGTTTTGATTGTGCGCAATTTCTTTTTGTTTCAATTTATTTCCAGTCTCTAAAGAGCGAAGAGCTCGCTGAGCTAGCAGAAGCCTCCGTCCTTAGTCTGAACTACCACTTACATCTGCCCTTCGTCACCAAGTTTGTGGCATTTACATCCAAAATGTAAGTCTGCGAAATTAGACCGTAACAATGGCAATCTTTATTTGTCTCGCAAGGAGGAATCTGTCTTGATTGTTTACACTGGCAGTGGTGTTACAAAATTCATGTGCACTCACGCGTATGCACAATAATATAACAATAGTTGTGAAGCACATAGAGCATACATGTAAATAAAATTTCTATAACCATTATTGTAAATTATTATTATTATTATTATTATTAATATTAAGATTATCATGATTATGAGATGATTATTATTAATGTTATTATTATGATGATTATGGTATGTTCATTAATTATCATCATCAAAGTACCTGTGACCACCCACATGTTCCTCCCACCTGCCAGATACAGCAAGAAGAAGAGCAGGCCGGAGGTGCTGTGTCAGTGTCGCGGTGTGTTGCTGCAGCTCATGGCCTACCCCAACGACAGTGTGCGTCAGGCGTGTTACGCTGCTGTGCTGGCTGAGATCAAGGTGTGTGAGGAACACACACGTGTGTTATGACAAGATTTAGTGAGGGTGATGTTAACTTTTACAAGTTATAAGCCTATTCTCCTCGAAGTCGTGAGGTTGTGGGTTTGGGAGATTGATTCTCAGCTCAGTTTGAAATTGTGTTCTTGGGAAAGGCATTTTACTCGAAATTCCTATTTGGCGTTAAACTCAGACCGTCCCACCTCTTAAATAACCTAATAGTGTTATAGGGGCGTTAAACCTATACCATTTCACCATTTAAGCCTATCTCCTGCTTTGTGTCAGCAAGCTTAATTTTAAATATATTAATATGTTAGCATCTGTGATGAATAGTTTTGTGGGAAAAAAAAATCTTTCCTTCTTCATTCCTACGTGTTTTATTTTAATTTTCTTTCAGAAAAGTCTACAGGTGAACAGCTGCAAGGACCCAAAGAGTAAAGCCTACCTCGGTTCAAAGTTCATGATGAACGCAGATGTTCTGTATGAACTGAGCACTTTTGGACTAGCGGACACAGATGCTAAGGTATGTGTGGCTAACATAGTAGCTATTGAAAACCCAGAGCGAATGAGAGCAGAAAGTTTTTTTAGCCTTGAAAATGTGCGACGCAAAGAAGAGAATTAATACAATCTTTTGAATTATTGCACACTAGCGTTTTGTGGTGTAGTGGTGAGGCGCTTTGCCTGGCACTCAGAAGACCCGTGGACAGAATTTTTTCATCAAGTATCTCAGTGTTACTGCTGGGATGCTGTATCCCTCTCAGCTCGGGTTGGCTCTGACAGGTAGGGTCGAAGCTGGCCTCCTTAATAATGTAAATTGTGTCGATTGGGGTGTAAAAACGCTTACACTTTAAAAAATTGAAAAAATAATTATTGTGCGTTGTCTTGTCCGCTATGTCTTTTTCAAGTGTGTATGTTCAAGTACAAAATTCAATAAATTGAATACTGTTATATGATCCTTTAAATCGTGCAGTGTTCAGTTTTTGTTTGTTGAAAAATCAAAGACTTTTCGCTCTTTGCTGGAAAGATGTGTCCTAAATTAAAATTTTGCTTTACGGAGCAAAGTTCAAAATAATTTTTGGTTGAAAGCTAATCATCAAAAATCGTGTCTATCGGCGGTTGGTTGATGCTCTGGTGTGGTTTGCTCCTTCTTTCATATCAAATGTCTATCGTCCTTATCTCTCCTTCTTTTATTTGTATGTCGCTGTCTAGTAACACTTCTGATCTGTGGCACTTAAATGACCTGCCTATGTGTGTTGCAACTGCTGTAAAACTTTTACTTAAGTTGTCTTCAGTTTATTTATGAAATTCTCTTGGTTAGAAAAGATATGCTATCTTTTTGTGAGATTGCACTTTTCTATTGTCCCCAGGTTCGGACCAGTGCCACGGACTGCCTGCACCATCTGCTTCAGTCACAGCTGCTCATGTCGGAGGGTTTGTGGCAGGAGTTTATGTTGGCTCTGACCAAGTCTTTGCCTATTTTACAGGTACAGGGAAAGTGAATGTGTGTGTGTGTGTGTGTGTTTGTGTGTGTGTGTGTGTGTGAGAGTGTGTGTGTGTGTCTGTGTGTGTGTGTGTTTGTAGCAAGAGTTTATGTTGGCTCTGACCAAGTCTTTGCCTATTTTACAGGTACAGGAAAAGCTGAACGTATGTGTGTGTGTGTGTCTGTGTGTGTCTGTGTGTATGTGTCTGTGTGTGTGTGTGTGTGTGTGTGTGGATGTTTTTTTCTGTTAATGTGTGTGGATGCATTTATATCTGTAAATATGTGTGTGTGTCTAAGTCTTTGCCTATTTTACAGGTAGGATGAAAGCTGAGTTTGTTTGTGTGTATATGTGTGTGTGTGTGTGTGTGTATGTGTGTGTGTGTGTATGTATGTGTGTATGTGTGTGTGTGGATGTTTTTTTCTGTTAATGTGTGTGGATGCATTTATATCTGTAAATATGTGTGTGTGTGTGTATGTGTTTGCATCTATTTGCATGTTTTTTAGTGTGTGTTATATTTGCTAGTGTATGTGTGTTTGTATCTATGTATTTCAATGTGTGTGTCTGTGTTTGTATATGTTTTCATTTGAGAGTGTGTGTTCTGTGATTTTATCTGTTTATAAATGTGTTCACTACTTTTAAGAACAGAATCAGAATGTTTGAGGTATTGAAGAAAAGTTCTTATATTTAAAAGTTAATAACTGAATTTGGAGGGCAGTGAGTTGTTGGCTCAAATGAAAATAGTTCAAATTGTCCAAGACGGTTGCCCATTGGCGAGGAGAAAAGTGGTTGTCTTAGGACAACTAGACATCTTGGACATTGTCATTAAAGTATTTCTAGAAATGCAAGAGGGTAGTGGGTAGTTGTCGTTTGTACAGGTGATTGTCTTAGACAGGTGGTCAGTGGAGTATGTGTGACTGCACTCTGTGTGTGTGTGCGTGTGTGTGTGTGTGTCTACATGTGTACCAACATTGTGAATGAACATCTGTTTGCAGTCGTACACTGACCAGAGCACGGCCCTGGGACGTCTCCTGTGGTCAATGCTTGACCCGACTACCTCCAGCCACAACGTGCCTCTCCTGGACAAGCTAAGGGGAAGTCTGCGTTTGCTGTATCTCTCGGACAAGACGTAAGTCGAAGTATTTGCGTCTGCTCTATCTCTCTGAGAAAACCAAGGATGAAGAATTTACGTCTGCTCTGTCTCTCCGAGAAAACGTAAGTTGACGAATTTACGTCTCTGGCTAAAACAGCACCTGGACATGGATGGCTGGTGCTTCTATAAATAAATTATTGATGGTATTTACATTTGCTCTATCTCTCTGACAAGACGTAATTTGAAGTATTAAATTTACATCTACTCTACTTCTCCTACAAAACGTAATTTGATGTATTTACTCTCCGACAAAGCATAAGTCGAAGTATTTACGTCTGCTCCATCTCTTTGACAAGATGTAAGTCGAAATATTTACGTCTGCTCTATCTCTCCAACAAACTGCAAGTTGAAGTGTTTACGTTTGCTCTCTCTCTCCGACAAAGCTTAAGTTATAAAGGTATAGCAGATCTGCCAAGTACTCCGATAAAATCGAAGCTGTCCGGGGTTTTTTTTTCCCGCTTTTTCTTTTTCAGCAAAAATTCTCCACATAGATTCTGCTGATCAACAAAGTTGAGGTTCTTTATACTTTCTCTGTTTACTGTGATTGTTTTTTTTGTTCTACAGTCAGTCTCTCCAGCCCAAATACTGCTTGTCCACTAGTGATCCTATATACTATAGCAGGGCTAATAGAATATTTCCGAGCCATTTAAGATTCTTTCGTTGGAAGTTTTTAAAAGCTTTTTAGGATAGTGCTTAATGGTTTTTTGTGTTGGTTTTTTTTTAGGGAAACTTTGAAGACTTAAAAAATTATACTCTTTGTCCATCCAGTCGGCTGCCACTGTTTTTGAAACTATGAATTAATTACACTATTTTCAGGTTGAGGGCTCAAGCATCAAAGCACGTCCGATGGTTCCTTAGCAACGAGCAAGACACTGAAGGCAAGATGCCTGCCACGGGTGACCTTGAGCCAACAAAAATCGACTCGTGCCTCATCCTGAGCACCCCAGTACTCATTGATGATGATCCAACTCGCTCTGTGTTCACTGTAGGTAGCTTTTAGTTGCTTATTATAGAGTCAAACCTGTCCTAGACAACCACCCATTGCCGTTGAGAAAAGTGGTCATCTTAGACTGGGTCAATATGTGAGGCTTTGTGGTGAAATCAGGCACTCGTCAAAGTAATGAAATAGAAGAAAACGCCGTATTTCCACAGGCAATTTTTTTTTCGATTTTTAGTTTTTGGCTCAACACTTTTATGACTATGTAAAATCATATTTCTGTGTGAATTTTACTGGAAAAACGTTGATTAAAGGCACAAAAAATGTAAATTTTCATTTCTTAAGAATTCTCAAGATATGGAAGTTGCCAAACTTTAGCGACCATTTTTCTCGATAATTTTTACCTCTGAAACCAGGTGATTCCCACCTCCTTCAATGGAAAATATCTCGACTTCTATTCTAGAAAGGTGGGTATATTTTTCATTGAATGCAAGGCAAATGAGCAAGCTTTAAGATGATACCATTAACTCGACGTGCCCAAAAATTGTCGAGCGCCTGATTCCTCTACATTGTGACCCATATGATATATAGAAAAACTCTGAGGGCAGTGTGATGTGGTCGTTTGTGTCGAGGATTGTCTTGGACAGGTGGTTGTTAAAGCAAGTTCAACTGTACATACACTGAAAAAAGATCTCTGTTTTGAATAGTTATGGATGATTTTGTAATAATGTGGCACTTTGATTCTGTATATTTTTTTTATTTTCTTTATTTTTTTTCAAGTTAAAGAGAATGAGTTTGTTCGTAATTCTCTGTCCTTTATGTTTAACAAGGTAAACTGGCCTGCAAATGTTTGTATTTGTCAAGCGACCTTTTGAGATATCAGTTAAAAGTCCTACAGTTGATTGTAAATATGTTATGCCCCCATTGACACACTTTAGATCATAATTTAGAGGATAGGGAGTTTCCAAAGTGGGGGATATTAACATGTCCTTAACACAGTAGAATAGTAAATGAGCTGATTTATTAATGTCATGCTCATACTGTGCCGGAACAACATAGGGGGAACTGCTGCTTTTTCTTTCCTCATCCTTACAATTGTCATTTTTTTCCTCTACTTCTTTTGTATGTTTGTCACTCTTTTGTGAACTGCTATTTGCGGGGTGCCTTGATAGTGGAAGCAGACTTTGTGTTGTTGAGGCTAGAGAGGTGAGTAGAGTAAGCCTGATTCCCTGCTTGGACTTCTCTTTTGACATCTACCCCTTGACACTCATATGACCTTATGCAGTTCGAGCGCCGTAAAACTCTACAAAAACAAATAGACAAACCTTACTAATACAAACAAAACAGGATAGGGATTTTCAGTTAATTACGGTTGTGTTTTCTCTGTGTTGTGTTGCAGGAAGAAGGCATGAAGCAGGTGTTTGACATCTTCACAGCCGACCCCGTGGACCCGGGGGTCAAGAAGTCCGCGGGTGAACAGCTGGCAATTATGTTGAAAGGTGAACACACAAGTCTCTCTTACAAAGTGTTCGTCATTCAGAGGTGGTTGGCGGGTGCTCTAGTGTGGTTTGCTCCTTCTTTCCTATCAAACATCTATTGTCCTGTTCTCTCCTCCTTCTTTTTTGTGTATGTTACTCCCTTGTAACACCTCTAATCTTTAGCACTTATTTGACCTTATTGTGTTGCAAGTGCCGTGAAACTGTTACTAAAAAAAAGTTCGGAGGTGCTAGTTTTCTGGATAAAGGACAAGTCTGGATTTCAGAAATTGTCTGATTTTTGCCCAGAATTCAGACCGACCATTTAAAAATAGTCTTGATACAAAGTGTATTAGATAATGTGATCCAAAAATGTTGAGTCCCTGTGGGCTCGTTTCCATAGGGTCGGAAAAGTTAAGGAGTTTTGTACATTGCCAGCTACCACCTCTGTTCGTTAGTGTTTTTGCTTTGTTAAAAAACTTTGTTGGACTTAACAGTCATGCTATTTTCAAATATTTTGTTTATATTTGATCTATCCAGGGTTTTTTTTTCATGTTGTGTATAGTAAGTTTATAAGTTACACTTTTTCTGTACTTTTGTCAAATTTTTGTTGTTTGCATTTGTATCTCTTCCTGTCAGTTTTTTGGTCTTTTTTGGGCCAGGACTGAAATTGATAATCAATAATAACCAGTAAAAGAATGTTTTGACCCCTCCTTCTGTGGTGTAATGGTTAGACGTTTTGCTGTTGCCCACTAGAGACCGGATTCCTATATCTGATTGGCGTGAATTGTTATTGAGTATTTTGGACGTTCTGATTTGATGCTCAACATGGGTTGGCCCCGACTGGTAGAGTGGAAACCTGCCTCCTACATGTTCTAAATTGTGATGATGGAGGCATAAAAACACCTACGTTCAAAATTTTTTTCTTCTGTTATTTTGTGTCTGGGCATGTTTTTGTCCAGGAAAAATCTGTTTTGTCTCAGTACCTCTCTGAGACATACTATGAGATGATTTTACATCGTGATTTTGTGCAAATAAAATATCTTTCCCACAATCCTAGATCCTCACCTGCATGCCTTGTTCAAGAGCCATGGCGGGGTGGAAATAGCTTGTTCAGTCATCCAACAGTCTGTTGTGAGCACAGCGGAGGAGGCAGACAGCAAGGTACATAATTAATTTACTGTATTACAATCTGATATGTGTTGCATCTTTTTGATAAAGAAGGGTGTTGTGTGCAGTGTTCTTTGTCTTTTCTTTTCTTTGTCAATGCTTCCTTCTTAGATTGTTTTAGTCTTTTTTTCTCTTTGCCTTCTTTTCTTTTTCCTTTTTAAGAGGGGGGGGGGGGGGAGTGTTTCCTTAAAAAACGAACAAAATAGTGTATCACAAATCTCTCCATTCTCCCTTTGGTCTTACTTTTTTAAAAATAATGCAACAGAATGAATCAGCCGAGAAGAGAAAAAGATGCACAGCAGATTTAGACTGTGGAATTTGATTAGATTTATCCCTCAACTTACTTCTTTCTCTTATCAGTCTAGATTTGGGGATGGTTGGCGGGTGCTCGGGTGTGGTTTGCTCCTTGTTTCCTATCAAACTTCTATCATCCTTATCTCTCCTCCTTTTTTGTCTTTGTTACTCTCTTGTCACACTTCTCATCTTCGGCACTTATATGACCTTATTGTGTTGCAAGTGCCGTAAAACTCTTACTAAAACTGAAAGTCTTGATTTTCCATAACACTTTCATCACTATTTTTCGTCTTTTTCATTTCTAAATGTGTAGCAAAAGCCTGATACTGTGGCCGTCCTGCCTGCATGTCTGTCTATGTTGCACAGCTTGGCGCGCTACGACTACACGCTGCGTCACACACTGTCTCGAGATAGCGAGTTGTACCACTGTTTGGTCAGAGGTAAGCCGCTTCTGGGTTGTTGTTTTTCTAGTGTCAAAGAGAGCCGGGATTTTTAAAAATTCCTTTGTCTGGGGTGTAAAATGCCATATGGGGTTATAGAAAACTTGAACAAGGTTTTGCCTGGTCAGAGGTAAAAAGCTACCGTCCCTGGGTTTTTTTCTAATGTCAAATAAAGCCATGATTTTTTTTTTCCTTTGTCTGGTCAGTAAAAAGCCATATGTGGGTTATAGAATAATTTAACAAGTTTTTGCAATATTTTTAAATTTACATTTTGTTCTTAGACCGGATTGTGTTTACTAAATGTTCACCTTTTTCTTCTCAACAGTGTTTACTAAATGTTCACCTTTCACAACTTACCAGTGTTTACTAAACATTCACATTTACATTTCTCCACTACCCAGTGTTTACTAAATGTTCACCTTTCTCTACACACCAGTGTTTATGAAATGTTCACCTTTCTCTGCACACCAGTGTTTACTAAATGTTCACCTTTCTCTACCCTCCAGAGTTTACTAAATGTTCACCTTTCTCTTCTCCCCAGTGTCTTTGTTACACCAGTCGCAGGAACAGATCAAGTCGGACGTGTCTCACATTCTCACCTTGCTGCTCTTTGATGAGGTGGCCAAGTTTGACATTGGGTCAGTGCAAGTTGTGTTTGATTCTGACAGTGGATGCGAATTCGTCTCTTCTGTGTTTTAGTTTTAGTTTTAGTAGAGGGTTTTACGGCGCTCGCAACTGCATAAGGTCATTTGAGCGCCATCTGTGTTTTATGTTGAACCTGTTTGTAAGATCTTGAAAAAGGTGTGCACCTGCCAAACCTGTTAATAAGATGTGGATGTGCAAGAATGTGCGCTCATATAGAACTTGTGATTAAGATTTTCAAGAAAGGTGTGTTTTTAGTTGATTCTGATAGTAAGATTTACAAGAAAGTTGAAATCTTATGTGGATTTGTGAAATCTTTAGGTTTTAAAACCACAGTCAATATTCTTTTGCCCTTTTACCATATAATATGCTCAGAGATAGCTTTTGTGAAAATGTTGTACAGTTATGATTTCAAGGCTATTTCTGTAGAAATTTAAGAAATGGCTTGAACTTGCAGCACTGACAAAAAATGTATAGTGAAGTGCTTAAGGCACCTCAGCTTAGCAGGTTATTTTTGTTTTGCCCATGTAAAGATTGCCTGCATAACTTAATATCAATTATCTCATCTACTGCTGCTCTATTTCATAGTAATGAGTGTGCTCAGTCTCCGTTGCTGTTGATGTCCCCCCCCTCTCTCTCTCTCTCTCTCTCTCTCTCTCTCTATCTCTCTCTCTCTCTCTCTCTCTCTCTCTAATCTCTATGTCTCTCTCTCTATCAAACTCTCTCTCTCTATCAATCTCTTCTCTCTCTCTCTCTCTCTCTCTCTCTCTCTCTCTCTCTCTCTCTCTCTCTCTCTCTCTCTCTCTCTCTCTCTCTCTCTCTCTCTATCAATCTCTCTCTCTGTATCTATTAATCTCTCTCTCTCTCTCTCCCTCTCTCTCAATCTTTCTCTCTCTCTTTATCTGTCTCTCTCTCTCTCTCTCTCTCTCTCTCTCTCTCTCTCTCTCTCTCTCTCTCTCTCTCTCTCTCTCTGTGAGTGTGTAATTAGTGTGCACAGTCTCTGTAGCTGTTGATGTCTCTCTCTGAGTGTGTCAGTTTGACAAAGCTTGGCCTGTTCTCACGGCGTCCATTCCTTCTTCCAGGTCGGGTCAAGCCAACGTCCCAGGTACCAGGTTCAGCCTGCCTGCACAGGTCATCAAAAGGTGAAAGCTTTATGTCAAATTATTTACTTGTGTTATTGTCATGATGATAATGATAATAATGTTTATTGCATTTACATAGTGCTCAATCTATGCACTTAATAACTATTATGACCCCAGCAGGTTTCTAAAACACTCTGGAACATTCTCAGTTTCCATATAGTGTGAGCAGCTTATTGGGCACTCCAACACTAATAAACTGACAAAACCTTTTGTTTTCTTCAGCCATTTACCTATTCCTATAAAGTGAGGAAAATTCGCCTTAAGTGCCTTTTTCAAAGATAAAACGTCAGGCCGCCAACTGGGTTTGAATTCATGACCTTTTGGTTACAAACCCAACAGCCTAACCACTAGACCTCCGACGCCATGTCATCTATTGTCGTTATGGAAGAAACTGTGTTTGCTGCTCAAACAAAAATCCTAGTTCAAATGTCTGCCTCCGCAGTGACCCAAACAGATTACGTCTTCATTTAAAAACTCATGTGCTCGAAATACAGCAGAGCGTGTCTTTCAGCAGCAGGACAAACCAGCCATAGACAATGCTGTTTTTGAGAGAACTGCGGCTGAAAATTCACCTACGACAAACTTTCAACTGTTCACAACCATATGTCACAGACATAGAGACACTAAAAAAACACACAAAAAAACGTGTATTGTGAGATGTGCTTATGTTTGATGGATAAGATAAAGCTGACCTGCTCTCTGTTCCTGTTTTTCTACCCTCCACTCTCAGATACCGACTGCCGTTCAAACCAGCGTGTCACCACATCAGCAGCCCGAACGCCGCCAGTTTGCCGGACCCAGACACAGACGTCATGGCACTGAGCGGGCCGCGGGAGATGATGCGGGCGGCCTGGAACGTGGCCTGGCAGGGCGGGCTGCACCAGCTGCTGGATTCTTTCAGCACGCGCCTCTTCTCAGACACTGCCTCAGAGTGAGTGGACTCGTTGTTTGGCCTGTAGTTTGCAGACATGTCATGTCAATTTTCCGAGTAAATGCAGAAATCGAAATTCAGAAAATTGTGCGTATTTTGCCTTTTTGACGTCTATTCTACCGTGCCGAGGCCGAGCGACGTATCTACACTTTTTATGATTTTGAGTTACATTGGAAATATGGGCATGGCCCTTCGGTTATGTCTGTTTGTCATAGTGAAATATCCTATATGTAGTGCAGATACGTCTTCCTGCCTTTGACACAAGATGCAGAATGGGTATAGGCGTCCATTTAAATGAAGATACAAACATTAATCATTTTTGCAGATATGTCGGTCTGCCTTGGCACGGCAGTATTGTGTGGGTGTGCTTTTCCTTACTCAAACTCAAACTCTTTATTCGTTCCTTCCGCATATATATAGGTTCAGCTCTTCCCTGGCCCTGAGCCCGATCGACCGGACAGTGCTGAAGACGTCGTCTGTGTCGTGGATGCTACAGGCCAAGGTCAAGGCCATCGAGGAGGCCTCGTCACATGGCCAGGTGGTCGCCGCTTTGGACCGGATGTCGTCGTATGTCACGGGGGTCAGGATACCCGTGGTGTCCGAGTTTTTCTGCTCTGCTGACTGGTACTCGGCCTTAGAGAAGTAAGTGGGAAGGGTGAAGAGAACTTGTGGTTTTGTGTGTTTGACTGTCCCCGTCGTTTTATGCAAGAAAAATTCTGAAATTATGCAAACTGAGCCCAAAAATGTGAAATTATGCGATTCTGTTAATGTTAACAAAGAACGATAAAAGAAAATAATCAGAAATTGTGCAAAAAATGATCAAATTTTGCTAAATTATGTGGGGTGCATAAAACCATGGGGACAGGTTTGATGAGTGCTCTGATGTGGTTTGCTCCTTCTTTCCTGTCAAACATCTATCATCCTAATTTCTTCTTCTTCTTTTGTTTGCATGACACTATGTCTATTATGTGGCACTTATGTGACATATTTGTGTTACAAGTGCTGTAAAACTCTTACTAAACTATCGGATGGTTGGCAGGTGCTCTGGTGTGGTTTGCTCCTTCTTTCCTATCAAACATCTATCATCCTTATCTCTCCTCCTTTTTTTGTGTGTTTGTTACTCTCTTGTAATGCGTCTTATCTTCTTCACTTATATGACCTAATTGTGTTACAAGTGCCATTAAATTTTTACTAAAACTAAAATGAACTTGTGGTTCTCTCTACATGAATGAAACAGAGACAAAGAATACGATAATTGTCTGCTTCTTTTCTCTTTTTTTTTTTTTTTTCATAGGTGACTTTTTAAAATTTTCTTCTTCTTTCATTTCTTTTTTCTTCCGTAGTCAGCTTCTCTTATTTTCTTCTGCTATTGCCATCTACTTTTTTCATTTCTCTTACTTCCATCAGCTGTTTCTCTAATTTTCTTCTTCCCTTTGTAGTCTGCTTCTTTTATGTTTCTCTTCTTGTTTTTTTATTTTCTCTCTCTCTCTCTCTCTCTCTCTCTCTCTCTCTCTCTCTCTCTCTCTCTCATTACTTACTTTTATTTTTAAAAATGTTTTTTCTTCTCCCATTCTGCCACAGGTTCCTCCAAGTCACCCCGTCCTCTGCCTCCGACCAGTCCCTCCTGCTACAAATCCTCCGCTTCATCAGCGCTGTCCTGCGCTGCGTCTCGCCGCGTCTCTCGGCCTCAGGGCCATCTACTCTGCCCTCCCCTCTGTCGTGGTTGGTTGAAAAGTTGTACCAGCCCAACAGCCCTCTGGTCAGTCTCATGGCTCGTCCGTTCTCCGCGGCTTCCTCGTCGTCTCCTGAAGGGGGCGAGTCTGGGAGTCATGTCAAGAGGTTAGGAAAAAATATGTGTGGCATAGTGGTTTAATTAGGTGCTCGTCAAAGTAATGTAATTGAAGGACTCGACAATTTTTCCGACTTATATGCAAGAGAGATTGGCATTTTGAAAATCAAAAGCGAGACAAATGAACCACTTTTAAGGCAATACCGATAACTTTATATGAGCAATTGCCAAAACGTGAGACTCTCTTGAGACTCAGTGGTGCAAAAAAATTTTTCTTACCAATTTGACTCTCTTTTCTGTCAGTCACAGATTGACATTTAGTGCTCATATTCCTAGAGTATCAGAGCAAGGAGATGTACGATTTTGGAGATATGGGTCTATTGGTTTGGCAACTACTGTATTTCTTGTATGTAACAGTGATGACAAAAACAGATAAGCAGCAGGGCAAATTATGAACTTTAAATTCCATTTGTTTAGTAAACAAAGACTTTGTTCACTATGAACTCCATTCATAATGGTAATATGAATGACAAGCTTTGTAACAATGACGCAGTGCACAGAACATGTCATCATTGTTATGTACAAGAAAGGAGGACATTATCATTGACAACACATCACAATAGTGAAAGGCTGTACAAATACAGTTATCAAAGCCTCAGTACCAGAAAAACACATGTGTAAAACAATTTTTAAATTAATATGAGGCAAAAGCACAAAATCAATTGAGCTGACCTGTACATAACAGTGATGACAAACATGACTTGTACATAACAATGATGACACAATGTACAGGAAAAGACAAAAGTCTTGTCTCCAGAGAGAAAAACGCACTTTAAGAATTTAAAAAAAACCAGGAGAGGTTTCTTTTGCTTTGAAACAGATATCAGGTCATTATATCAAAGACAGTGGACGATCACAATTATATTGCTAATTATGACAAACAGTACTCGTACATAACAGTGATGACAAAACATACTGGGAAAAGGTAAAATCATGCCTACAAAGAACAAATTTGCACTAAGAGATACACAGATCAATAAAGGCGTATTTTGCTTCTAAATGAATCTTGCATGTATGAAATATATGTTGAAAACTTATTGATATTAGCAATGATGACAAATATTACTTGTACATAATAATGATGACACAATGACACAATGTATTGGAAAAGGTATATCATACCAACAAAGAACAAATGTGTATTTTTGAGTTAGACAGATAAACAAGCACATGTTTGTTTATTTGTTTGAGTAAAGAGAGCACACATTACTTAAAAAATGTTTGCTCTTAGGACAATGTAAGTTCTAGTACGTCAGTCAGTCTTGTACGGCTGCATGACGACACCCCAAACGTCATCACTGAGCACAAAAGCTAATTCTTTAACCACAGAAATGATCCATCTCTCGAAGTTTGTTCACACATCACACTCTTGTTCCAGGAATCCAGTGTAAACACCGCAATTTCACTAAAATATTCAACAGAGTAGCCTAAAAACACGCAAAACAGCACAGTACGTCACATTCAACGCAAAATTCTTGTGCGTCACCGGACGCTGAAGGCAATGACTACTTTCGTTTTTCTGTTTCCCCCGTTGCTTCCGTTGTTCTGGGGAAGCGGGTAAGGGGAAGTCACTCAAGAAAACAATTATATCCGGGCACTGTTGATGATCCGTTCAAAACAAAAGTGGGCGAAATTCGGACTTCCGGTACGTCGCAAATTGACGACAATAACGGCGAATGTAAAACAGCCGACCGAAATCGTAGATCTAGGAACCCGATGTTCATTTCGCACATCGCGGCTTTTGAAGTATTGAATAAACAACGATAGACAAAAAGATTTAACCAGCTACAGTGGTTCTACTGAAAAATAATGGTGTTTTCTGAAACACCTAGTCCGTGACGACACGACAGATGCACAAGTAATCCGAATTGTTCGTCTATTTGCAAACAAATAAACCGATTTATTGAGCAAGTTAACCTTTCCCAATGACAAATAGCATAGGATCAAAGCACACGTAAAAAAAACCCACCCAAAAATACTAAATTTTGGACATTCTTGGAAGTTTGCATTGGTGTGCTCAAAATGACACTCCAGGAATCAATAAAAAACGAACATTTTTGGCACAAAATTTACAAACTCAAGATTATAAAGCTGACATGGGGTCTGAAACTGCTAATGCAGGTTCTACATCCTATATTTGACGTGTGTATAAGTTTTGGAGGAATAAATACTAATGCATCACATTTTATGCACACTAATGTGAGATGTGTGTGTTTTTCCCCACGTTTTGGCAATGGCTCATATGCCCAAATATTGAAAAGCGCCTGATTCCAGCACACTGTGACACATTGGTGAAATTATATAGGTTTAACACCCCTAGCAACACTATAGCTGTTTGAGTGACGGGATCTTTGATTTTACTGTTTGTCTCAGATAGGACTGTCAGGGGCGAAGTGTGTACATAATCAAATAATCGTTGCTTCCCTTCCATAATGTGGAATACATTGTTGCATTCAGATTCTCCCACAGACGTAGGCATTATAAATTTCAATAGATTTTCATGACTTCAACAGCGTGTCATGTGCAAAACAGTCAAGTGTTTCTTTGATAATTTAATACCTTATTGTGGCGTTGGTGGCTTAGTGGTTAAGCTCTCGGACTCGGCTCTTGGACTCGCAACTAAAAGGTTTTGGGTTTGAATCTCATCAGGGTCCTGACGTTGTGTCTGTATTGAGTTGCAAATGCCGTAATACTCTTACTAAAACTAAAATGCTTCAGATGTGTCTCTTAATGTCTGTGTTACCTTTTCTCTCTCTCTCTCCAGGAGTCTGGATAAGGAGCTCCTTCACTACATCACCAGCATCAACAACCACTTTCCGTATCAGTTGTGTCAGAGGTGAGAATTCATGCTACTTGTATTCAAAGTTTGCTTAATCTTCATGTTTTATAAATCTTTGTCTTATTAACAAAGTGTCGAAGAGTTTTATTGTGGGTGGTTGGCGGGTGCTATGGTGTGGTTTTTTCCTTCTTTCCTATCAAACATCGGTCGTCCTTATCTCCCCTCCTTCTTTTTTGTGTTTGTTACTCTCTTGTAGCACTCCAAATCTTCAGCACTTATATGACCTTATTGTGTTGCAAGTGCCATAAAACTCTTACTAAAACTTTAAAAAAGACATTTGTTGTCCTTATCTCTCCTCCCTCTTTTCCTTGTAAGTTACACTCTCGTGTCACCTGTAATTTTCAGCATTCATATGACCTGTTTTTGCTGCAAATGCTGTAAACTGTTTGGAAAATGTAAGAGTCTTGGTTTTGAATTTTGTGTGTGTGTGTTATCAGCTTTTTTAACCACTTGGTGTTCTTGGATTAGAAAAATCTCATTCCCTTTGTTGAAGATGTAGAGGCAGTTGCAGAAAAACAGGAAATGCACATAAAAGTCTATTCCAAACAAAAGTGGACCACCCTGATTTCAAATGATCTTTCCGTTTCTTTTTCATTTTTCATCTTCTGTTGCCGTTAAGCGTTCAAATGATGAAATGATGTCATCCTTATCTCTCTTCCTCCTTTTCCTTGTATGTTACTGTCTAGTAACAAGTCTAGTCTTCGGCACTTATATATGACTTAATTATGAAGCAAATGCAGTAAAACTTTTACTGGAACTAAACTCTTTGGCTCTCTACATGTGGATGGTTGGCCCGTGCTCTGATGTGGTTTGCTCCTTCTTTCCTATCTAGCATCTATCGTCCTTATCGCCCTTCCTTCTTTTATTGTGTTCGTTACTCTCTTGTAACACCTCTAATCTTCGGCACTTTATGACCTTATTATGTTGCTAGTGCCGTAAAACTCTTACTAAAACTTTACTTTTGGGCTGTCTTCCTCAGGGCCCGGCCGGGTCAGGTGAGGGGAGACCTGGTGCGCAAGTTGCAGCATCGGCTCAACATCACAGACGCTCCCCATTTCTACAACCTGGCCTCTTTGGAAGGGACTCTAGCCTGTCTCATGCACGTCACTGCCAGGTAAGAATGATGATGATAATGATAATAATAATAATAATGATGATGATGATAATAATAGTATAATAATAATAATAATGATAAATAAATAATAATAATGAAAAATAATAATGATTATAATAATAATAATAATGATGATAATAATTACTATGATGATGGTGATGATGATGATAATAATGATGATGATGATGATGATGATGATGATTTTTCCCTATCACACGATCGCAAGAAAAAGCACAAAAATTGATAGATTGAATATACATCTGGCTCAGAAGGTTCTCAATGTATACTAATGACATGTTGCTCTCATCTGTTGTTTCTATCGTTGATTTTTCTTTTTTTTTCCTTTTCAGGCCTGGCTGGTGCAAGCAGTGCTCCGAGCTGGATGCCACTTCCCTGTGCTCCCAGCTGCTCAACAGCCTCCTGGAGGTAAGACAACCGCGGGAATTCCCACAGTTCATTCTACACTTTGCCATCACAAGGCTCATATAGTTAACACTTTGCCGTCACAACTCGCCGATCGGCCACGGCCATGTTTACCACCCAGTTTCTTTGGATTTTCCCCAAACATGTTACTATACCCCCTTTGGGAATGGCTCAAAGACACTTCAGTCAGTAGCACCGCCCTGTTTCTTTGGACTTTCCACGAAATTCCCTTGCCTTTGATGGCAAGGCTTTTACTATATGAGCCTTGTGGTGGCAAAGTGTTGAAGCCCTTGTCATCAAAGGCCAAGGCATTTTGGGGGAAAGTCCAAAGAAACTGGGTGGTAAACATCGGTGATCTGCGAGGTGTGACGGCAAAGTGTTAGAACCGGAATTGTGTCTTTTCCTTCTTCTCGGTTGGTGTTTTTTACTTTTGTCTTTGTATTGGTTGGGGTGTGTGTCTTTTTCTTCTGTCTTTTCTTCTTTTGGATGTTTCTTTTTTTTCTTTTGGGTGTGTGTCTTTTTCTTCTGTCTTTTTATTCTTTTGGGTGTTTGACCACCCATTATCAAGGAAAAAAGTGGTTGTCTTAGACAAGCGTACGTCTTAAACAGTGTTATCATATTTTTTTTTAATGCAAGGAGGGAAGTGGGAAGGGTTGTTTTTACAGGTGATTGTCTTGGACAGGTGGCTGTTAGAGCGATGTCAACTGTAGGGTAAAGTAGCTTTGTCAAGGATATTATATCTCTCTCAATAAAGCCAGAGTTGAACTCACAACTTTTTTTTATTGCTTGTTCAATGTCTAAGCACTCAGCCAGAACCTAGACTTTGAATTGGAATGGCAAGTTAGCTAAGCTTACATGATGTGAGCAGACACCTGTTTTATGTTGCCACCAGCTGGCACAAGTGGTGAGCTGACAAAATGCTTAGCTTGTACAAATTCTTTTCTGTTCGACCATCAGACTCATGTATCCTTACGTTCTATGACTCAATGGTGTAATGGTCAGGCAAATTGTAAGGTTATGAATTTTACTCCTGGATTCACCAGGTTCATCATTGTGTTCTTAGGAGATGCTTTGAACACTGGTGATTTTTTTTTTCAATTCAAATGAATGGTGAATTGTGTACTCACATTTAAATGTGGTATGTGTGGAAGGGTGGGAGGGAGGTGGTTACCATTGGTGGGTCAGAGTTCTTTTCCCTCCCTCTGTTGTTTCTGTCTATCCGTCGTGCTTTTTCCCAGAATGAAATGAAGTTTATTGTGTTTCAGTGTGCTTCTCTTTGCTCAAACAAAACTCTAACTTGAAGGGACAAATATTTTATAGAATTTTTCCTTCCTTCTGCTGAAAAGGTGTATCCCATTGAGGCTATGTGTGGTCCTGGGAGGCACGGTCTAAGCGTCCATTCTTCTAAATACACTCAAGCTTGCTCCAATAAGATAAGATAATAGTTTATTAACCCAAAAGGAAATTTTTGTTGGCTGTACAGGACTGTAAAAACACATGCAGGTATACATACAAATTTAAGCTGTATATTACTCTCATTAAAATTCAATATGAAAAGAAAAGTAGAGCTGACAAAATGTACATAATATTACATCAGATGCATCTTTCAACCACATGCAGGAATTTAATTACAAGACCTTTTGAGTAATATAGATAGGCCTACACACTCGAAAGAGCAATACACATTGATGCTTATTCTGACAATAGCCTTATGCTAGATGTTAAAAAACTTCTTTTATATCTTTCTTTCTTTGTTTTTAGAGGTGCATATCTGCCACTGCGTGGTCTTACAATTTGCGTGGAAAGAGGGTGTGATGGGTCGTTTATAATGCTTTTTATCTTTTTTATACTTGTGGTGTTATACATTTCATCAATTCTAGTGAAGTCATATCCAGAGATCTTGCTGGCTTTATTAATCGTTCTGTCAAATTTTTCTTAATCTTTCACCCTACATTTCCCAGCCCAACAGCAAATACAAAATAATAGCACGCTTTCAATCATAGAATGGTATAAAAGGGACATCATCTAATTATTGACTCGAAAACTTGTTAATTTCCTTAAAAGGAACATTCTTGGATTTACTTATTTGTGCCAAAGAGCAGCGTGGAGATGCTAGTCAAGCTTATTATCAATTGTTATTCCAAGATATTTGTAAGAGCTTACCACCTCCATCTCCACATGTCCAAGACAACCACCTATTCAAGCAATGGCTATATCCCACTTCCACAGTTGTGGTTTTTTTGTTGTTGTTTTTTTCTCCTATGTTATAACGCCACACATCCCTTTGACCCATGCTCTCCAGCTGGCGACAGAGAGATGTCTCTTTCTTCCCACAACACCCAAAAAGGGTATAAGCGGCGGATAAAAGTAAAGTAAAGTATAACACCACTATCCAGGATGTCCGATAGTCAGTCTGAGACAACCACTTTTCTCCTGGACACTGGGTGACCGTCTCAGACAATTTCTACTGTTTGTTATAATGACACTGTCCAAGACATTCACCCTGTCTGCGACGACCACTTTTTCTTCTTGAGAATTGGGGGCCGTTTTGGACAGTTTCATCTCTATTCTGAATGGTGGTGTCGGTGGCCTAGTGTTTAAGCTCCCAGACTCGTAATCGTGAGGATGCTTGTTCGAGGGTTCAAGCCACGGGCCCGACGTTGTGTCTTTGGGAAAGGAACTTTACACGAATTTTCCTCACTTCATTCTGGTGAGAATGGTTACCTGGCCATAGACAGCGAAAGATCTTGTCAGTATGTTAGTGTTTCAGCGCATATAAATGGCTGCTTGCATTGTATGCTTCCCAGGAAGTTGAATTTGTTTCAGAATGCTCTCAGATCTGCTGGGGTAATAGTATAGTTTGTGAAGCGCATAGAGCTTGCTGTTGAGCGGGGATTTGCGCTATACAAATGCTATCTATTTTTATTATTAAAAAAATTTTCAAATATTTCTATTGTTTTCAGGTGGTGTGGTCGTTCCACATTGGGCGCGGAGGAACATCTCGGTCCTTCATGGGGAAAGGTGTGACCAAGTCCACCGCCCTCTGCCTCCGACACCTGGCTCATGAGATGATCAACAACTCCGAGGACCAGGTAAGACAGCTCTTTCTCTTCTAGTTTCGTTTTCTTGAGAGTGTTGCGGCACTTGCTGCACAGTTTGGTCATGTAAGTTCGGAAGTTTTAGAGATGTTAGTAGGTGGTTGGTGGGTGTTCTGGTGTGGTTTGCTTCTTCTTTCCTATCAAACATCTATCGTCTTTATCTCTCCTCCTTCTTTTTTGTGTTTGTTACTATTTTGTAACACCTCTTGTCTTCAGCACTTATATGACCTTAGAAAGAGATGTTACCAAAGAGTAACATATGAAGAAAAGAACGTTGAGGGATAATGATGATAAATGTTTGAAAGGACAGAAGGAGCAAACCACAGCAGAGAGCCTGCTATCTATCCTCCACTCTCTAAATCCAACTATTGCTGCTGACCTATTTAGAGACGTGTGTAAATGCGTTGTTATGGTGTTTCAGCCAATTAAATCGGCCGTAGCTTTGCCGCTGATTGAGCCGTTAAATATCTGAGATTGTCCTTTTCACCATGGAAGAGTTCCACTTCTGCTAAGGCAGACAAGAGGGGTGTAACAATGTTTTGTTTGAAATTTGTTGTTTCTTTCATTCTCAACGTGTGTCGCTCATAAATAAACGAAATATTTTTCACTGGAAAAGTGATAATATTGTACAGAGCTGCCGATTTTCCAGATAAAATTTTAAAATCTGGATTTTGGAATTTGTCCGGTTTCTGCTGGACTTATGGACGATCGTCTTGATAAAAGATCAGACTATAGTATGACCCGTAAATTTTGAGTTTCATTTCCACGGGGTCGAAAAGTTCCGGATGGTTTTTTTTTAACCTGTTGGCACCTCTGTATTAAAGGAGGAGAAAGGTGTGTGTGTGTGCGTGTGCGTGTACGTGTGCGAGTGTGTGTGCGTGTGCGTGTGCGTGAGTGTGTGCGCGTGCGCGTGCGCGTGTGTGTGTGTGTGTGTGTGTGGCTACATCTATCTATATCACCACCTGTGACTTTTAGTGGAGCGTCGGATGTAGGAATAGATCTAGACCAAGGCAGTCTTGGTAATAACCCTGGAATACTTTGATAGTAATGAAAGATACTGAAGCCAGATGTTTCTCTTGGTTTCTGTATCCTGAAGGACGTGAATGTAAGTGGTTTTGTAGGGATGCAGCTTCATATCATCTGTGTCCAACTCTTAAACGCATATCTTCCAAATTAGATCAAACACTTTTGCTCTCCTCCTCCTCCTTCTTCTTCTTTTTGGTCGCATCACTCTTAAAGTCTGGTATCTATCATTATACTGGGCTGTGCGGGAGAACATATTCGGAGACTTCTCCGGCGAGCACCCATGAACTATTCGGAGACGTACTCCCACACACAGATGCACTGCTTTGGGGGTCAAACTGTGTATTGTTTGTTGCAGATCACACATAATGTTTAACTACTAAAACTGTCGCAAATCAATTTTTTAAAGAAAATTTCAAACCTAACAGCAAAATATCAACTTATGGGTTAAAACAGGTAGCCCCCAGATTTCTTAATTGGTCCAGAGGCACAAAGCGTTTTGGTTTGTCTATCTCCGTCGGAGACGTCTCCGGTTAGATACTGCAGGGCCGTCCTGCTCAGTCCATCTGTCGGGTTGTAAAGCTTCTCTGTGGAATGATGTGTTCTACAGTTTGGTCCTTTTTTCTACTCTGTCATATTTTGGTGATCGTACAAGTTTACGTGGTCCCCTCCTCCACACTGTCATATTTTGGTGATCGTACAGGTTTACGTGGTCCGCTCCTTCACACTGTCATATTTTGGTCATCGTACAGGTTTACGTGGTCCGCTCCTTCACACTGTCATATTTTGGTGATCGTTCTAGTTTAAAACATCTGTGTACATGTCGTGGTGTAAATCTTGTGTGGCATGTTCTGACTCTGAAGATAAACACTTTGTTCTTGGCCGGACAGCTCATGGTAGCCATCTGGTGTCTGTGGTGGTTTAAATAGTGTTTTTATGAGAGTTTTCATTTCCATTTAGTTGATGCTTTTTTGGTCTCAAATTATATTATTTACAACTGTAATTACAAATAATGATGCATAAAAAAAACCCAACACTACACAAAATTTTGAACAATTCTGGAAGATAATAAGAAAGAAAGAGCTTTTCTTTTCCCCAAAAAAGTGTGTGAACTAGTTTGTTGGATGCACAGTTAGAGACGGACAGAGGCGATATTGTCGGTGTCATGAGCAATCCATGAAGTCTGTTGGAGTACTTTTTACACCAGAGACTAAAAACTAGTTTTTGTTGCGTTGTTCGCTTCAAGAATCATGAAGAGCTATAAAGTTGTAAGCCTTAACCCTTTCCGTACGCCCTTTGGGTCATGTTATACCCCCTTGGTTGTATTCTTCACATTTTAGATTACTTCTCGTTCGAAGATCTCTTTGAAACTTTCAGTATTTCTAATAAAATTCGTTTTGACAGACTGCTATGCAAACCATACGGATCGGATTAACGAGTAAATTTCCTCTTTGGAAAGTGGTGCCACAGGTATGTATTTTGTTCTGTGGATAACTCACCTATTGTTTTAATAAGAGTTTTACGGCACTTGCAACACAATAGGTCATATAAGTGCCTAAGATTAGAGGTGTTGCAAGAGAGTGACAAACTCAAAAAAGGAGGAGGGGAGATAAATATGATGGAAGTTAGATAGGAAAGAAGGAGCAAAACACTCCAGAGCACCCTCCAACCACTCACTCACCCATTGTGCTGATGTTATGTCTGGGTAAGAGGTTTAAGGCTGCATGTTTTAATCCGAATGTCCTACACATATACGTTTACTGAAAGAAAAGTGGATCGGCTGCCCTTTTACCGGCTTCTGTGTATAAGCGTTGGCGCTTTGCCATCGCATGCAGAATACTTCTGTCCGATTCCTGTGTGGGGAGAATTTTTATCGAGTGTCCCGGTCTTTCTACTTGGAATTTGTGTATCCCTCTCAACGGGGGACCGTGGTGTAGTGATTAGGCGCTTGGCTGCTGCACACAGGAGACTCAAGTCCGATTCCTCAGTGGGGAGAAAATATAGCCGTTGTTAATGTTAGGCATGAGTACGCCCGCCTGACACTGGATTGTTCGGGGCATGTATTTTAATAGTCGCCCGTCTAACTCTGAATTGTTCGGGGCATATATTTTCATAGTCTCCCGCCTATCACTGAATTGTTCGGGGCATTTATTTTTATAGTCGCCCACCTAACACTGAATTGTTCGGGGCATGTATTTTTATAGTCGCCCACCTAACACTGAATTGTTCGGGGCATGTATTTTTAGTCATAAGACTAACTAAGAGTAAGAATAGATCTAGACCTACCTTTCGGGGGTCTCCATTGGCGAAATTTCAGAAAATCTGTTTAAGACAGTCTTCAATAGCTTCACTTACTTAACTCATTCAGAGAAGTGAAAACGTTTCCTGTCTCCTAGGGGATCGAAATTGTGATCGAAACACTGACCCTGAGAAAGAAAGGAATTTAGCAGATGCTGTTTAATGCTTCTTAGGTTATTTTAGCATGTGCCATTTAGCCATTTTAATTCTCAGTGAATACGTACAACACATACAACACTGGATGGTATTGGGTTATTGTTTAGTAAGAAAACAGAAGACGTTTGGTTTTGGTTTGTTTAGAAAAGCTCGTATCGAGATTTATTCCAGCGAGTATTTGCACATCAGATTGTCTTCCTAGCGCTTGCCTTGAAGAGGCCTCTGATGAGTCAAACGTCTACAGAGGAAACAATCCGGCGTTGTTCAGAAACGAGAGGTCATGCATGTGGTCAGTTCCGTTAGTCCATGGCACAGGAGTCGTCAGTCATCCCTCAGAGCTGGTTCCCATGGTGACGAGCTGGTGACGTCATGTGGCCCCTCCCGCAGGCTGGCGGCTCGTCAAGGGAACTCACTCCTCCATGTGGTCATTGTTGGGTGAGTTGAGGCCGTTTATTAGGCCTTAGCACCCCCGACCAGAGCGCCGATCATCTTGGTGATGGTGTCCACGCCGGTAGATGCGGCAGTGGTGGCCACGCTGAGACCGCAAGATCCCCGACACGCGGTGCGGCAGGCAGCAGTACTGGCCAGACCTATGGCGTTGCCTACCAAGTCTCCCGCTGCCTGGGCCGGGCAGTTGGTCAAGCAGTCGGCGAGGCATTTGCATCCTTCTTCACAGATCTTTTTGCAGAGACCATTGGTTGGAGCGCAGACCACAGAGTCCACGACAGGCACCAGCATACACACCTGGTTGGTTGCAGAGCAGCCCAGACCGCACACGTCTGTGCACTCATCGGAGCGTACAAGGGCAACGAGGGCGAGGACGGCCGCAGAGAAGACAAGGAATTTCATCTTGGTTTTCTTGTGGGACGACGTGGACAACGGCTGGACTGTCTGTGAGTGAGTGAGTGAGCTTCAGTTGCAAGGACTCGAAAGTGACGACAACCCCAGAGCACAGACCTTTATATACCGAGTCGGGCCGTAACTTGAGTCACCATTTGCTTGGTGGGGTGAAGGGATGGGGGGTGCGTCAAGATATCTGACACGGCACATTAAAGACCCGGAGAATAAGAATTGGTTATGCTGACACAAACGATGAACGTTAACGTCAAAGGACTGTTTCCTCGGGGTGGACATCGCTGGAAACGACCGTTGAAGCATATATTTAATATATTTATGTGTAATTCAAGATTTCTTTTGTCGTCAGAGTCATGGGGCTAATAGATGGCGTAACAATAGACGGAAAGTTTAATGGCATGTGATACGGTTGTAACAACTGGCAGTTTGTGAGAATGAAAGATAAAAGGAAAAGTTAACTATTCCTTTATGTGGTATGTCGGTATGTACAGAAGGCAATTGTTGGAAGAAAAGGAAGAAGGAGGGGGGGTGGAGTCAGAAGGGTGAGAAGAAGAAGAATTCGGAAAAAAGAAAAAGGAGGAGAAGAAGAAGAAGGAGGAGGAGAAGGAGAAGAAGAAGAAGAAGAAGAAGAAGAAGAAGATGATGATGATGATGTAAAAGAC